ACCTACACACATATATACACACACACACCTACACACATATATACACACACACACCTACACACACACACAAACACACTTGTCGCGAGCGGATCAGAGCTGGCACCCGTGTGCGCAAGGTGGCTAAGAGCGCAGGCAAGTCTCTGACACTCTCCACATACACCTGCGCCCCCCAGTCGGTGTCTGGGGCGGCGTCGTACCGTGCACTGGCGTGGGTGGATATGTCCGCCAGTCGTTTGGTGGGGAACGCCGCCTCAGTGCTGATGTAGAGGGCTCCTGGAGGGGGCAGGATGAGGATGATGGCATGGTGGGTCAGCACAGGGTGTTTGGCACCTGTTTGTGAGTATCTAGGGTTCTAGTTCGTGGGTTTGACATCCAGGGTTCTAGTTCGTAGGTTCGACATCTAGGTTTCTACTTCGTGGGTGTGACCCGTATCCGACTGACGCATACACTTGGGCCTGAGTATGTGCGCGTCACGAACACCAACAACAAACACGTACCAACTGTGTTAATGACCATGTGTTGGTCCACCTAAACATGCTTGAAGGGGTACGCTTACACACACACCAACCCCGTCCACATACACGTCTCGCTACGAATGCCTTCAACGGTACTCTATACATACTACATATCACACACTACATTCGCTACAGGCACACTGGTGGACTATACATTACATAGACCTTGCTGATGCATGCCTCACACACACACACACTTCACTACAGGCACACTGTTGGACTATACATTACATACACCTTGCTGATGCATGCCTCACATACGCACACTTCCCTACAGGCACACTATTTGACTATACATTACATAGACCTTGCTTATGCATGCCTCACATACACACACTCCACTACAGGCACACTATTTGACTATACAATACATTCACCTTGCTGATGCATGCCTCATACACACACACCTGCATCCAATCCGCCACTGCTGAGTGGTAGCTGGCAGGTAAGGCACAACTGCAACGCCCACTGTGTCTTGCCGCTGGAGCTGTCGCCTGTGATTTCAGTCACCCCTGGCTGATGGGCAGAACGCAACAGACACATCCTGCGATTAATTAATGCGTATGTGAACATTTCGACAAGGTGTACATACATGCACACGCGGGCTGGACGGGTATGGGTAGGTAGGGCAACAGCTATGGCTATAGCTAAGTATCTCAGATATTTAAGGTGTACATACATGCACACGCGGGCTGGACGGGTGTGGATAGGTAGAGCAATAGCTATGGCTATAGCTATGTATCTCAGATATATAAGGTGTACGAGCACCACTCCGTGCATACACAGGCAAAGGGAGCGTGCCCATTGGAGCCAGTCATGCAGACACAGAGCAACTAAGGTGCCTATCCTACTCATGCTCGGCCCACGGATCATGCTCATTAACGACCAATCAAACCTTCGCAGATTGTTTTCTGGACCAATAAAAACATGCGTACCCTCTCATAATGGTGATACTATTGTCAAGATTATGGTTATGCACAGCCGGGATATGCTATACAGACAGAGGCGATGGAACAAAAACATTATACCGGAAGATCTATTATAGAAACGTTTATGACGAACTCTTCTCATAACCCAGTAGAATGCAGCGTTAAATGTCGTTTACCTACACCTCGACGGCATATGTGTCAGCACGAATACAGCCCCCAAGCCACCACTACACGATTTAATTGGGCTCGGGTGTATGCTTATACGATACATGTGCACACCCCAGCCTCAAGACATCAACAAAGCACACTACATCGCCACGCAACCTGCACCGTGCACAACCAAAGACCAAACGCACCACCTACATTGCAGAAAGCCAAAAGCAAGGTCACTCCCAACACCCAATAACTCAATATATGCAATCCACTCCGCACAACAAACGCCTCACAACAACTCAAGACATACAGTCCACTCCACACAACAAACGACTCACAACAACTCGAGACAACAAACGACTCACAACAAATCAAGACATACAGTCCACTCCACACAACAAACGACTCACAACAACTCAAGACGACAAACGACTCACAACAACTCAAGACATACATTTCACTCCACACAACAAACGACTCACAATAACTCAAGACAACAAACGACCCAAAACAATTCAAGACATACAGTCCAGTCCACACAACAAACGACTCACAACAACTCAAGACAACAAAGGACTCAAACCAACTCGAGACATACAGTCCACTCCGCACAACACACGACTCACAACAACTCAAGACAACAAACGACTCACAACAACTCAAGACATACAGTCCACCCCACACAAAAACAAATAACAACAACTCAAGACATACAGTCCACTCCACACAACAAACGACTCACAACAACACAAGACACATAGTCCGCTCCTCACAACACACGACTCACAACAACACACGACTCACAACAACTCAAGACATACAGTCCACTCCGCACAACAAACGAATATGTCTACGCTCCTATGTATGCTCTGCAGGAGTGGAATGGGGGCTCACATGCTGCTTTATAGAAAGAAGCTCGCACGTGCAAACATACCACCAATACCCCGCCCCCGAAATACGAATCCAGCACGGCACAACCCAGCGTAAGGCGGGTGCGTTTGGTCACGTGTGCGTGTATGCCAGAGGGTCTACTGTCTCTGTCCCAGTGGAACAGCTTGCGTTGCTTCGTGGGCTGAGACCCCTCCGCCTCTGCTAATACGGCCGACCGCTTGCCGCTCGATCTGTGCAAGGTGTCCCAGTCTGTTTAATGACTAGCGAAACGAGTTTTATAGATAGCTGGTGTGGCTGTACTGTTTAGAATAGGAAACAATTCATACCGAGAAGAGGTCGGTGCTCATGCAGATAACTATAGTATGCATTGGTGTTAGAAATGTTACAGACGGGGTAGTTCACATGCAGTATATGTCGTACGCACATACACACATACATATAGCAGCCGTATAGGTCTATCGCACGCACATATAATATATATG